CTGCTGAGAGATCTCTCTCCATCTCACAAACGAGTTTCGAGCTAGAATCACAACCTCATTTCCCTTCGCTGAGGAATGCTTGAGGAAGTCCACACGTGCTCTATCAGGCCTTCATGCTGGGCTCTAGGAGGCTGTGGCCACCTTATGCCCTCCCAGGCCCCTGCCGCGCAGGCTCTGAGCCACTTTCAGCAGCCCCAGCGCAATGCTTCGTGTGTATTCCCTGGCGGGCGATTTATCCCGAGCCTGGCAACAAGTCCTATTTCTAGCAATGTCGATGTTTTCTGGTGACCTTGGTGTGGGCACATGCCTAAGATTTGGAGGGAACACATTTCGTGAATCTGAAACCCTTTAAATGGGAACACATCATTTGGATGAAAACCTTCACACGGCAGAAAGTCTTCCCCGGTCTATTTCCCTACCCCTCTCCCCACGGCTGACCTTTATCTTCTGACGCTTTATGCCTGGCAATCCTGACTGATTAACCAATTGGACTGAAACCACTTTTGGAATTGCTCACTTCTGAATGTCTCCATTGCAATTAGTATTTTGCTCCTTGCTCTTTCTGCGTATTGAGACATCCCCTTAGGAGTGATGAGCGACGAAGCCGTGAGGCCCGACTGGACTACACTTATTATGATTACGTTGGTATCTATCTACTGGGCCTTTTTCTCTTCCATGCTAAGGTCATAACTCCTGGTCTCCATTTAGACAAAACAGTCTTTCATGTGAGCCGGCGTCTTGTAGACAGCTGCTCCCAAATACCAGCTCAGTGCTTGGCATACGCTCATGTGGTCGTCGCCGATCAGACGCCGAGCGCATATTAACAGCGTCACTTTAAAATTCAATATTGTGCTCTCTTAAACACTTATAAAGGAGGCAGGCTTTAATGTCTGGAGCCCTAAAGAACATACCTCTGTGTGTCTTATAAGTTCCACGAGTTCGATTTCCTCTTGAGTCTGCTCAGTCCAGCCTCCTTCGACCAGCACTGGCTGCACAGGGTTCTGGGTGGGAACCATGGTGGGCGGCTGACATGCTGCCACCCGCCGCCCTGGGGAAACACATCTCCAGAAATTCCATGTCTGGTGGTAGGCTTTCTGATTTCAAATCAATTACTTCAGCTTTGTATGACTAAATCATTCCACCCAGGAGCACAGGCTAACATACTAAATATATCATAAAAGCAAAGATGCCTAAGGTAATGATATTTAACAATACCTCTTCACACGGGAGCTTGGGGCTTTCGGTACCCAGGATACGCACACCCGCTGCACAGGCAGAGGAAGAGAGCGGCGCCGT